CAAATTGCGGTTAGACGCGGTTCCAAACCAAATTGCGGTTAGACGCGATTACAAATTAAATCGCGTCTAAACGCGTTCGATTCGACATTCAAGATTTAAAAAAAATATTGCAATCCGTCTCAGGTTTGAACTGAGTCGCCATCGATATCCCCTAACGATGGTCTTTACCTCACTATAGGCGAACGGAAGGTTGAAATGTTGATTTATCTAAAACGATAGAAATGAGATTAGAACAAGTGAACTAGCAATTAAGAAGCAAGTATACATACCATGAAGCCACATGTGACCACAATCGTTGTCGAATGAAACAGAAAGTATATATGAATCGTGACTTCATATCTATATTATGTACAAATGCATTTATCAATGGAACGTTTTCTGCCTAAATTATATCTCATTTGTTAATATTGATATTCTTGTATGAAAATAAACTTGTATAAAATAAATTGCGTATATTAAAATTTCTTTAAAATTTTCGGCAACTTTTTCTTTTGCAAATAATTTTCATTTATTTTGTCGTGTAAGACTATTATTTATAATACTAAATAGTGCCTATCTTCTAGAACTTATTATATAGCTATTATATTTTATCAAATATCATGTACTTTTTTCGTCTTTCTTTTTTATTATATAAAAAAGCGTTTACCAAAGCTTTTTTCAAATCATGTTAACATAGAAAGATTTTTTTTTAATTTCTAAAATGTCATCTTCTTTGAGGTTTTTTAGCAAATTTATATACGTCATTAGAGCACTTAGTACAGAGTTTGCGAGTGTTTTTCTTATGTATACACAATGGATAAGGTTGAGACGATGTGTACGTCTAGGAAACGTAGAAAAGAGGTTTGTCTATTAGATTTTCTATTCGGGTTTGAGTATCTTCTTGTGTATCTTCCTTCCGTAACAATATAAAATGAAAACAACACACACGATTCGAAATGAATTGAACACTACGCCAACCATGACATTTAAACACTTGAGGTACAGTTATTTTATGACAAAGTATATTTTATCTTTAAAACAAAGTTCAAATTGAGGACATAATTTATACCTTAAATTTCAAAAAGAGTTTTTTGATCAAAAAGTGAAAATAAATTTTATCTTTCTTATTTTAGAGCAGACTTCTTCATCTACGGTTTGATGCAAAACTTTTTTATATTTATCTCTTATTTTGAAAACAGGCTATCGATTAGTAGAAATAGTACAGAGTAGAGAGATAGTCTCATTATACTAATGGCCACTCGTATTACTTTTTTCATACATTAAAAGATAAAGTTTCTAAAGAAATTTATTATGCTACGATAAAAACATCTTTCTCTTATATAAGTACCTAAATCTTTAAACCAAACATTTCTTTCTATTCTTGCCGAAGTCCACCAGAGTATAGGTAATAAAATTTCATGTCTTCCTTTAAATAGTTTTTGGTCAATCATGTATAGACGCACTCTCACGTCAAATCACATCCAAATGCGTCTAAACAGTATTATTACCTGCGTACAAACGCGGTTCCATAAAAAATGCGTTAAGCAACGGCTCAGATCTACATCTGACCGCGTCTTGATGCGTTTTATCTTAAACCGCATCCAACCGCGCTTGAAAAATTTTAATAAAACGCGTTTTCATGCGGTCTCGTAAAAAATCGCGTCCAGTCGCGATTCAAAATCTCCTGCGGCCGCGTCTAGATGCTTTTTTATTTTTGGTCGCGTTCAGACGCGAATAGAAATCGATTGTAACCTCGTCCGAACGCGGTTTCATTTACAATCGCGTCTAGATGCGTTTGAAAATTTTCTTCAGTTGCGTATAGACGCGACTGTAAACGAAACCGCGTTCAAACGCGGTGAAAATCGATTTTTACCGCGTCTGAACGCGTTTTCATTTGCACTCGCTTCCAGATGCATTCGAAAACTTTCTTCAGCTGCGTATAGACGCGATTGTAACTGAAAACGCGTTCAGACGCGGTGAAAATCAATTTTTAGCGCGTCTGAACGCGGTCTACAATGAAACTGCGATTACACGCGTATATTCTGCGTCTGGTGTTTACATGGGTATAATAATGTTTTTAGTGGTTTGGAGAATTTTATGTTTAATCGATAATGTTGATAAATCCATGTGTACAATTAATTTAACTAATAATTAAACAACAACATCGTCATATTTCTTCATTATTATTATTTTCATCATCAACATATGATTAATAGTCCATTACTTGATTTATTATTCAATACAACTATTAAAACGAAAATATGAATTAATACTATACCAAATTCGGAAACATTTTAATATTAATAAAAATGAGTATGTATTAGATGACAATATTGTTATAAAGAACAAAATATTAACATATATAATTAGTATTTAATTGGAATGGAATATAAGAAAAATCAAATGAAAATTAATATTAATTTTTCAATGTTATTAAATATTATTCAAGTAAGATAATTATTCAATGAAATATATTTTACTAGTGAAAAAAAAATTATAGCGTCTGTTGAGTTACTTGTGAAAATATTTTGTTATTAATAGACTCGATCAATGTTATTGTCGCAAAAACTATATTTGCAAAAAAAAACATCATAAAATGATTAAGTACCAACAGACTCGATATTTTTCCAAGATTTTTACTCGTCATATACTTAAGAAAGAAATCTATGTATACTTTTTCTATAAACATTATTTGATTGTTCGATACGATAGCAAAGTCTGAATACGAACTCACTTCTCAGCAATTAAACAATAGTTTTCAAAAAGAATGCATAAATTTTTTTCTGCTTGTTTATCAGTCGAATAAAATCATTAGAAAAAAATTATCGAGTGTAACGAGATTTGATACCTTTGACGTATTTCAATTTTCGTAGACTATTATGGAATTCTTCTCGTACTAAACCAGGGTTGCCAGATCGAAAAATTAGAAATCGAAATGTTTTAATCAAAATTCGGAATTTTTTATATTCTACTTCGGAAAAAGTTCGGAAAGCAGTTGTTTTACTATCAAATATATATACCACCTTTTTTATGGACATATCTGTTGCTCTATCAACATTTTGTGCAAAAATTGTTGCCGATATATCTCTTTCTTTCTTCAATCTCACTTAAATGCATATCTGAATTATCATCTTCATCATTCATGGCTGAATTTAGTTCAGGATAACAAGAGACAATTTTCATGTAAAAAAAACACTTCTAAAATTAAAGTTCAGTCCATGTCAAAGAAGTTATTGATTCAAATGACACTTTTTTAACCCTTTCCGGCCGGCTATTTGAAAAATGCCGTACCCCTATAGGGGAAAATGTTTCCATATGGAAACATCCGGCCGGAAAGGGTTAAACAATACAAAGTATTCATTGAGTTCGGACAGATTTTAAACTCAAACGATCTTACATTATAAATAGTCTCAAAATTGTATTATATAATGATTACAGTAAAACATCGACAGCGCAAGAATTGCTAATGAAAGTTAAATTAGAAGTTATAATCAAAGTCATTAAATCTCGAATCTAGAGAAATAACAGGTCTCGAAAAAATATTCAAAATTCGAAAGAGTTTGGAAAAAGTACCAAAATTCGGAAGATCTGGCAGCCCTGTACTGAACTAATCATTCATATTGTATTCTTGTGATCCGATCGAAGTCGGACACTTATTGAATTTCAATTGCAACAGTGATGGACTAGTTTAATTTTCTTGTATTACATTAACTCATCTATACAGATCGTTACTTTCATTTTCGAATGAACTACTTTTTTGTAATCAATTCCAATATTATTTTTCATATAACTTTTATTTTGTTTTCTTAAGGTAATTTTATGTCATTGAATAGATAATGTAAAAAATAAAAATTATTTCGAATAGATTCGTGAACATAACATTGAATTAGGTGAGCAATATTGAGCTGTATTTAATGATACGACTTATTCAACGTTTACTTAAATATACATCAATAAAACATATTGATTATCAATTATTAATTGATTCATTGGGTAAATTACGTGAAATAGCAAAAAAATTAAATGAACAAAGTAGAAAAACGGGAAAACATTTATCAATGTTTAATATTGTTCATATTATTGATAATTGTCGAGCAAAAAAACGATTCCGACAGTATTAAGTACGTTTTATTGTCGTTAAATTTTAGTCAGAGTTTCTTGCTGCACATCATGATTATATAGAAAAATTTCAAGTTATTGAACTTCAACAAGAATTAACAACAATACAACTACATGTAACTCGTTTTCTTTTCTCCGATTGTCTTGAATATATGTGTAAAGCATTCGGTATGAAAATATATTCCACTTATTCAATTGGGGAATATTCAATGTTTATTTGATATTAATCCATCATCATTAACAATTGATGATAAAATTATTGATTGTTTTTGTTTTTTGTGGAACTCACATTACGTTTTCTTTTTCGAAGAAAAATAGAATAAGTGTAAGTTTTAGAGATATGGTAGACGAAAATTTGGACGTTAGCCGAATTCTTACTCATCACATTTTCATTAGAATCTATTTCACATTTCTCATGGCATCTTGATGGTGATTGTTTATGAATGCGGTCATTATAGACTTTTACTTTAAAAGTAGTAACTT